TGGAGACTAAGGTGGGCCTGATACAGGCCATGGTCTTTGCAATCACTTGTTATGCATCAGAGAGTTGGACAATGACTAGGGATGATACAAAGAGAATTGATGCCTTTGAACTGTTGTGATGGAGAAGAGTATTGAACATACCATGGACTGCTAGGAAAATGAACAGGTTTCTCCTGGAGAGGGTAAAGCCGGGCTGCTCCTTGGAGGCAAGGATTCTGAAGCTTGTCTGACATACTTTGGACATGTTGCAAGGAGGGACCAGTACTTGGAGAGGGACATCATGCTTGGGAGGGTGGAAGGACAGTGCAGGAGAGGAAGATCCTCGATGAGATGGATTGATTCAGTGACTGGGGTAATGGGGATAGATGCGTCAGAGACAATAATATTGGCACAGGACAGAGCAGGGTTTAGGGCTGTTGTACACAGGGTTGGTATGAGTCGCAGGCGACTCAATGGTACATAACAACAACAACAATGAGATGCCTAAGATACCACATTAAATAAACACTTTGAGAACAGAGCCAAAATGCTAGCAACAAATCTGCACTTACCTGTGACCAAAAGGTCAAGGGGTTTGCTGGGCAGTGACCAGAGGAAGGGATGTTGTTTAGAAGTACCATAGCATCTATAGGTGCCCCCATGGGTCCACTTCACAGGGGAGATGAGAAAGGAGTTGTGATCTTGATGGGAATAGACCTGGATGAAGACGTTTCTCTCATCTTTGGACAGAAGGAAAATGTCGTAGTGATAAACTGTTTGACAGAGGAGGGTCACGTGCCCCCCTGAGGTCACGTTGGGACCCGGAAGAGCAGTTAGAGAGGGCATGTCCATGAAGACTCCTGAAAGAGAAGAGAGCACATTACGCCACCTTTCCCATGTTTTGAAAGACAGAACAAAGACTCTAGGGCAAAAATGTGCTTTCACCCTTTGTTGTTGTACATGGACCACAAAGACCAACCAACCAAAGTCCAAAATCACTTTTCTTATTTTCTTAATTGCTAGGAATCAGAGAGAAGTCTATGTATAGTGGAGGAGCTGAATATATGTCCCATACAATATGTCGGGGGTTTTTTAGGAAAGCCAGTTCCATTATGAAGGGTGATTACATCAAAGTCAGCCCAAAGGGAAATAAGATAGATTAGATAGAGACAGAAGCTAAGAGTCAGTCATGGTCAAGGCACAATGTGCTAGGGAGCAGATACACTGGGGACATTGCCTTTGGGGTGGCCCTTACCTGTCACCATGAGCTCCAATGGATCACTTTGTCCTGACCAGGTCTTTTCCTTTAAGTAGTTACAGAAGTAAACCCCTGCATTGACGCGTGTCACACTCCGGATGGAGAACTCAACCACTTCTCGGGCTCCATGTTGGATTCTTTCGTCCCACTGTTTGGGGTCTGCTATCACCAGACGTACGTGGGTCACCCCCGGTGGTCTTCTACAGCAAATGGTCACAGAACTGTGCAGGGGAATCACAGCACTTGGCACTGCCCAAATGGAGAGCTTGGCCTCTGGAAAACAAACAACCTGGAATGTAAAAAATTTTGTTGTCGAGAAAGCCCTCTTCCTGCTTCCCCAGCGTGTTGTATGAAGGACCCCACAAGTTAAGCCAAGTCACCTATTACGGATAAAGTTTATCGACTTGGCTTCTATGATTCTCTTGTTTTTTCCAGTTAAGATGTAGTGTAGTGCTAGCTTAAAATTGAGTGTTTTAGCCCTTAACTTAGCCCCCTCTGGTCTCCAGCACCTTACCTGCAGATGCATGATCTTGCAAATTATCAACAGCTGTGGGACTAGGATAAGAAAGAGAGAGTGCTTCCCACACTGAGATACAAGACTTGAGGAACACTGGAGCAAGACCCTGGTGAGTGCAAGACCCTAGTGGCAAGACCTGGATGATGGTGATGGAGAGACTAGGGCAAGGTATAACCACAGGAGCCCTGAGATAAAAGCCACACTGTTAAAGATTTTGCTGTTTTTTTCCAGATGGTGGAAGGAGAAGCTAACTGCTGAACAAAAACTGGAGCCTGGACTAATTGAGAAATTGTGCTTTGGGACTGGTGGACTAAAACCTGAACTTGTGTTGGGTGACATTCTTTGCCTCTCCCACTCTCTAACTTACGGCCCTAATAAACCCAACTCTCAGTAACACAAATTGACTAAAGTCTGAGGCAACATTTGAACCCAATAATTGGTGGAAAGACGAAAGAAGTGCAGGAGCATGGGGAAGTAGGCATGTTGACCTATCAGCTAGCTATTTGCTTGCTGTTTTGAGTATTGTTGATGGCACCAGTTTCCTTTTATGAAGCAGTCAGAGGTCACACTGGGCCACCGCCACCCCCACTTAACCTCTGTTTCTTTTGCATATAGTCATTCCACTGATGCTTTATGAGATAACCTAGTAATTTCCTTAATGATATCTGATATAATGAAATAATTTCTTTGATGAGACCTAATATAATGTCAGCATCTTTATAATGTGATCTGGCATGAACAGCTAATCAGTTGAAAATCCGTTTCACTGGGGGCATGGCCTCCATCAAATAAACATGGACATGGACAACTGGCAAAGCTCTTGCCTTTTGCTTAGTTTGGATCTTAAATATGAATCATCACCATCTTGACCCCAGTTGTTTGAACATGAGCCAGCAACATACCTATCTTGGCTTCATCAGCCTTGGAAGGTCAGCATTTGCCCAAGGAAAAAGCTCAGAAGTCAGAAAGGGACAGAAGAGAAGGAGAAATGGAAATCACAGGGAAGAAGCAGGAAAAAGGCTGTTACCATGTCGAGGCTCTAACTAAATGTTGCAAAATGCAAGTATGAGTTACTGAATGTGTTGCAGACCGAGGGTAAAGTATATTAGTAAGTATTAATATTGAGACAGACACCAAGAATGTATAAGTAAACAGAGGTAAAGCAGGAGGTGAACAGTTCTCAAACAACTGAAGTGCCGATCTCAGCTTCCCTGTGCTTTTATTGAAAATTGCCAGGGAGCAAATCACAAAGAGAATTCTATGCAAATGAAGCCAAGCTCTTTCTATTGAAAACCTTATGCTTGACTCAGGAGGGAGGGGTTAGCAAATACAATACAAGAATCCGGTAAAAGCCAACATTTGCCTTAGTGTCTACCCCTGTAAATATTTAAGGTTTGTCTTAGTGCTTCAGGGTGAATTCCAGCTTTGTATCCATGCCTCCCTCATATCCTGATATAGCATTTGGTTTATCACAAATATTTAATATGCAGTTTGGCTTCCCACATGAATGGAAAACCAATTTGCTCTGCATACTTTCTTTCAAATCACAATAAAACATTTTTAAATGCCCAGCATGTTTGGGATTTAAGAAATTAATAAAAAGGTGGTGTTAATGTAAAATTAAACACTATATGCCATAATCAGAATATTCCTGGCACATGGTGAAGGACAGCAGAAACCCCATTTTTTTATAAACCCCCATTAGCGCTGGAGGCAGAAGCGGGCCATAAAAATTCTTAGCTTAGGGCAAACACAAGTGCACTGGGTAAAGCCTTGTCTGTCCTTGAAAAGTAAGGAATTAGCTAGTGTCTACGTGACACAAAAAGAGTAAAGGCGGGCAAAGTAGCCAGCCCATCAAAAGCCGACCAAATGACTGATCCCCTGGCCTGCCAATCTCTCTGCCCTAACGGGGGCACTCAAGAAAGGGCTATAAAAGCAAGTGGGAGGGGGAACTCGAGGCTTTTTTCCTTCACCACCTTCCTGAGGAAGGAGAAAAGTCTCGACGTGTGGAAATAATATAATACACGCTCTTGACATTTCAGACGTGTTTTTAGATTTCTTTGAGGGGCATTTCGTGGGCAGAACACATGGAAAGATCTCAAAAAATTTTTATCTAGTTATTATTATTATTATTAGACAATGACATGGAATCTGAACACAGCGCTCTTCTGAGCTTTTTGTGAGCTGCATCTTAAGGGATGAAGCATCCTGTCTTCTCCTCATTTTAGAAAGGATGGATACAAGAAATTGCTCGCGGTGGGCTGCCCTCGGCCCCCGGTTCGGGGCGAGCCGTCACGGCCCTCTGCCCAGGCCGGGCTGCCCTCGGCCCCGGGCTCAGGGTGAGCCGTCGTGGCCCTCAGGGTGAGCTCCTCAGTCCCCAGATTGTGCCATCTGACCCTTGGGTGGGTAAGGAGGGGAAAAAAAACATAACAGAGTGCCTAGGGTATCCAATGTTACCTAGGCCACCTTCTGCCACCCTCCCCCCCAGTAAACCTGAAAGCAACACCCTCAAAGCCCTTCTATTTGTAACTCACAAGTTTGTTCTCTCTAGGTTTGCTCCCTTTCCTATAGGTAACCTTAACTCTGAGTTTTACTCCAGAATTGACCCTGAACCCTGTGCCAGTGACAAAAAGGAAATACAACTGACAGCTAAGGAAGCAAAGGAGGATGGAGCCTCTGGGTTCAACCAGCCATTTCCACTGGACCCACCTGGGAAAACACTTTGCAGTCCAGAGGGGAGCAAATGACAGGAAAATATCTTCTAACAGAGCAAGAAGGCAAGCAGCTTTAACCCAAGATCACCAGTAAGGTGATAAAGTGTCCTCCCTTCCCCCCTTTACATCTATGCCCCTGTTCAGCATGAAGAAGCCAGAGAGTCAGCATCCAACTCCCTAATCAATAAGACAGTTGGTTTAATTACTATTGGAAAATGCTTGTCATTCCTCTGTAGCATCTGGTCCCCACTGGACCCTCATCATTTCCTTCACCTGCTCCCCACACTAACCAAACTGTGAAGCTCTGCAACTGCATCCTGGCCCATCCTCACCCTTCTGCCCCCATTCCTCACCTCCTTGTACCCCCAATATGCTTTTCCCAATTAAAAAAAAAGAAAAGAAAAATAATTTCTATCCTCAGAAACCCTAAAAAAAAAAAAAGAAATTGCTCGCACACAGTCACAGAAGCAGCGAATGTTGAGGCCTGGACTTTGCATCTGCCTCTTTGACAAGAATGCCGGCCCTGTTCCAGACCTCTCCAAAGAGAATGAATCCTGAAATAACCACATGACAGCAAATGGGAAGAAAGCACAGGACACTTGCAAGGTGGGGAATTTGAGTAAATTTCTGCAATTCTCTGTGTCTGTGTTTTCAGTGTCGATCACACACACTTGTCTTTGCCTCGAACATCATTAAAACTGAGTGAGGATTCTTATCTGCCTCTCCTGTGCTGGTGGAAGAAAGTTGGAAATCTAGAGTCTATCCAGAGCCTGGAAGATTCTCACCCCATGAAACAGGTAGGATCATTAAGGGGGAAAAGCGAACAAAGAGTTCAGGGATGAGACTGTGCAGGAAGACAGTGAAAATCAGTCCTTGGTCTCCTCCCACACGGGACCTTCAAACCAACTCAGTGCTATCTTGGTGAAACAAAGAGGAAACACTCACCATTTTGGGCATGAATCTTTGAGTTCAGACAAAGTCCTGAAAAGGATAACAACACAGTAAGAGAGAGTCTCTCCATAATCGAAGGGTTCTTGATCATCTGAGATCAAAGCATCGCGTTGGGTATGGAGTGAAGGAAGTGTAGCCGTAGAAGATATCCCTCTGTGGTGACCTGAGCCCGTGAAGCCCTGAAGAAAAGTCCACCAGGGGAGGGTTGGAGGCCATGAAACCCAGAGTTATCAGTGCCCTCTCCTTCCTGCCTCTCATATCAATTTTCTTCTCAGCATTCACTCACCCAGGACAAGTAAGACAGAGAGACTGGAGATCATGGTAGTGTCTCAGCCCAGACCTGCAAGCACCACAGCTTTGTGGGTCATTCTGAGGACGGAGACTCCCTTGAACTTCCTGGATTGAGAAATCCTTGTAAAACACTGCTACTACGGGTCTGATGAAATGTTCTTCCCTTTAAACAGAAAAGCAATGACTCATACCTCGAGTCCAGGTACTTCTTCCTCTCTCTCCAACATCACAGGGGCTGAGAAGAAAGCTACCCTGTGGCTTACTTGTTTTGACTTTAGAGAAAGGTAGAGACTCAAGAAAGGAGCGTTATGCTACACATATTCTCTCCTCTCCTGAGATGTTTAGTGTTCCCTTGATCTTCCCGGGACCTCCCTGGCATCAAGAACTTGTGAGGGAAAACTTCTCCTTCGTCTTTTCCAATACAGAGGACAGTGAAGGCTGCCTGGGGTTACAGCACTGCCCTCTTTGATGTCCAGCAGTGCAGACAGATGGCATGACCATAAACACACTGCCATCAAAAGTCGTTGACGTTCTACTGAGTTTCTGAGGCTGTGAATAGGAATAGGAGGGAACGGCCCATTTAGGCGCCAAGGAGCTGCTAATGGTTTCAAACCCCAGAGACACGCAAACTTTGGGTAAGCAGCACAGTTCACCGCAGTCACCTACAGTGACCTTGAGAGCCTAGCAATATACACACCCAGAAAACAAGTCCTAGGCTTCATGTTTGAGCTCACAGAACACCAGCAGCAGCGACCTCCCTGGTCACTTGGGCCTTGGCGCTGCCCTCCCCGACAGTTAAGAGTTAAGGATATAGGAATCTGTTGAAACTTTTCAGACTAGATCCAGGTCTTTCCTGACCCCACAGAATCTGTCATCCCAGCCTGCTTCCACCCCAGGACAACCCAAATGCCACAGATTACCCTCCTCGAGGTCAGAGAGGATAGTTCAGGGGGCCAGCTGGTTTCAGCTGTATTTCTCAATCTGCCTTTAATAGAGGTTTGAGGGCCTCAGGTAACTTACTTTTATTCTGAGTCTCCATAAATTCAGACTTCC